TATATTTTTTTTTTATTTCCCTAGTGAAAATTGTATTTTTTTTTTCTTTTTCTTGTGGTTAATTATATTTTCATAAGTCTCTTATTACCTTGCATGGTGACAGCAATTTGCATAGCTTTGGTGCGGCACTTGGGGCAGTGCATAAAAACCTTAATCACAATCTTTTGCTGCATGCCAAAAACAAATAAAAATAAATAAATACACATTATTTAGAAAATTATGATTTTAAACCAATGATTAAATAAACATGGAATTGAAAAATATAATTTTACATAATTTTATTCAAATTTAAACTGATTAATTACCTTCATTTTTTTCTTGATTTTCTGGAAAGAAAGAGGATGAGTTTGAGAGGCTGGACTATATATGGGGTGGCTGAGTTTGGATATTTATGGGGGGCAAAAAATTATAAATATACTATATTTATATACAAATGGGTAAAAAAATACAAATGGAAAAAATAATAAATACTATATTTATTTTACATAATATAATTAAATAAGTTTCAATGACTTAGTATAATAATGTGTACGAATTCCTGATAATTGTATGGCCCCTTGTGGTACACAAATTTGCTTGTATTAATTAAATATGTTTATTTTTGAACTATGTATTTTATTTCTGGATGTTTTCTATATTAATTGCTAGTATTAATCTTTCATAACTCCCATGTAGAGACATGTAACTAACATACATAAAGTCCTCATCATCTCTCCCAAAATTGGCCATTTCGTAGCAACAGCTACAAAACCTATTTTAAGTTGATAGATATATAATATTTACATCAAAATTTAGAAACACTAAAAATATTAATATGTGCAATACTAAACACTAGAGCAAATTACAAACAAACATCAATATATCTAATATACTAGGGTGGAATGTGTAATAGATAATATTATTACTATAAAATTTCCATAAATTAATTTCCCATATATCATAATCATTTAAAATTGAGGTTTTCAATGACATAAGGATCGACCGGGTCTAAAACAGACTTATAATCGCTTCTTTATTTCTTGTTGTCACATCAGCAGAGAGCCAGTCTACTTCTATTTGCATTGGAGAGTATATTTTTGTAGACTGGTATATAATTTTTTTGTGATTGAACCCAAAGCATTGTGTATGATCTTATAGAAGAAATTTACAAATTCAAATGTAAATGAAGGGCAATGAGTAAATAAATCAATCTATTTAATAACTATTATCAAACGAAAAGTTAATGAGTCATATTTTATCATCAGTTTTACTATGGAGTCATTGAATGACACGACCTATGGTGATGATACAATTATTACATAATGTAACGAACACAAAAAAGACATTAGTATATAATTACTACAAACAAAGCTCTATTTATTATATGGCATGATTAGTTAGAACTTTGTAGTTAATTCCATCGTTTTCCGATTGTTTATTTAACGCCAATTAGTAATATTTTAACATGGTCTTAAACTTGCTAATTGAAGCTACGTCTAATAATTGGGTGGAACTATAATTTTGTGACTTTGTCAGCTGCCTTTAGCATTAATCTACAGTTTTTGTTCCATTTACCGTAGCCGAGTATTAATTATTTATTTTAGTGACGACTAATGATTCTGTGGGAGAAAAATGATATAGTTCACGATCATCGGAAATTCCAAATTATTGTTAGGTAGAGAAGCTTTTTGGGGAAAAGGCATACGCTCAACTTTTTTTTTTTTTTTCATCCAAAACCATATATATTACTGTAAATTAAAAGCGCACAAGATGTGCAAAAACAAGTAACTCCTAGCTGAATGAGAACAACCAACAACTGAAAAGTGGGAGGCAGGTGAGAAGACCGCCTAGAATCCCGACTAGCAACGTTAGAATAAAGCTCGCAACTAAACTAAACAACTAAAATAACTACAACAACTAAAAACAACTAAAGACCCCAACTGGACAATACTCGAGTGTCGGATCCCAACCGGATAATAAAAATGACACTCGAGTTCACAGAGACCAACGACCCAGACCAAAAACACAATTCTGAAAACACAATAACAGAAACAC